ACTGCTGCTACTAATGCTACTACTGCTACTACTACTACTACTACCGCTACTACTACTACTACTGCAACTACTACTAATACTGATGGTAAATATAGTAGTAATATTAATAATAAAATTATTTTCAATAATAATAATAATGAAGCCACAAATAAGAGTAATAATAAAACTAGCAATAATGATGATGATGAAGGCAATGATGATGGTGATGTCGACGACGATGATGACGTAATTGATGAGCCTGCAGCGATCAGAAGCAGCGTCAGTGGCAGCTCTTGCGCCAGCGTTTCATCTAGCAACGCTACTACCATCATAACCGTCGGCGATAATGACGTCATCAATAATAATACAAACAATAATAATAACGTCAGCAACATTAACAGTAACAATAATAATAATAATTATAACTATAATAATGATGGTAATAGTAATAATATCATAAGTGATGATAACGATGATGATGGTGGTGGTGGTGATGATGGTGATCGTAAAGCTGATATGAAGAAAATGACTTATTTATTCGGCGATGATTATGATGATGATGATGACGCTACAATTATTGACGATGACAATGATGATGGTATTAATCATGATAATGATATTAAGAAAGGTAATGGCGTCCAGAATGACAAATCATCATCATCAGGTTTGCTGTCAGAAGATCTTCAGCTTTCGAGCAGCGATGATGATGGCTGTGATGATGACGATGAGGATGCAAATATTCCTGCTGATGATGTTATTCCATCATTATCATTATCTATGATACCTTCATCATCATCATCAACATGTTCCTCATCATCAACATTAGCTACAATATCAGCATTTTCATCATTATCAGCTGTGATACCATCGTCGTCATCAGCTGGGATACCATTTTCCTCATCAGCTGTGAGACCGTCGTCAGCTGTGATATCTTCATCATCAGCTGTGATATCTTCATCATCAGCTGTGATATCTTCATCATCAGCTGTGATATCGTCGTCATCAGCTGTTATCTCATCAGCTGTTGTACCATCGCCGTCTACAGCTGTGATATCGTCACCAGCTGTGATATCGTCATTATCAGCTTTGATATCATCGTCGTCATCAGCTGTGATACCATCGTCGTCACCAGCTTTGATACCATCGTCGTCATCGGCTGTGATATTATCATCAGCTGTGATACCATCGTCGTCATCAGTTGTGGTATCATCATCAGCTGTGATATCATTGTCATCAGCTGTGATATCATCCAGATTATCCTCTACTTCGTTATCATCTTTTTCATCATCATCATCATCATCTGTAATATCATCATTATCATCTACTACAATATCATCATCATTAGCAACTTGTCTAACACCATCATCATCACCACCATCATCATCACTATCATTATCGCTATCATCATCACTATCATCATCATCGATATCCTGTGATAAACTGCCTGCTACTTCGTCATCATCATCATCATTATTGCAATCATCACCACCATCATCATCGTCGTCGTGGTCACATGTTTCATCATCAGTATCATCATCATCATCGTCATCATCATCACCTTCTTTATCATCCCTGTCATCATCAAAGACATTAACATCTTTTTCTAAACTCGTTTCACTTTCGTGTAACAGCAACAGGAATTTTAACAACAACATCAACAACAACAACGACAGCAGTAACAACAACAACGACAACAATAATAATAACGTTAGCATTAACAACAACTACAATAACAACATTAACAAAAGTAACCTCAACAACAACAACATTAACAACAGTTGCACCAGCAACTACATTAACAACTGTAACAACAACACCAACAACAACAGCAGCAGTAACAACAACAGCAACAACAACCACAACGGTCTTCTCGTTGAAGCAAAAAAGAAAAACCTCAACAACGTAAACAACACCGGCCGGGACAACACAGTAAAAAATCACCGCCACAACAATAACAACAACAACAGAATCAAAAACAACATCATCAACAAACTCAACAACAACATCAACAACAACAACAACGTCAACAAAAACAATAACTACGACATCGTATCGGCTATACTAGGCGATAAGAACAATGTTTTCAACAACAGCTTCAACAACTTTAACTTTTGCAACAGCAGTAAATCAACAACAACAATGTCAGTGACTTTTCCTATTTCCATCACAACAACAACATTTACTTTTACTACTACTACTACTACTACTACTAATATTACCACTAATACTACTACTAATAATAATAATAACAACAATAGTAATAAGAATAACAATAGTAATAATAATATTAATAATAATAATAATAATAGTAATAATAATAATAAGAGTAACAATAATAATAATAATAAAACATCGCGGAAAAGAAAACTCAATGGTGGCAGGACTAGTGCAATGGAGGACATCAACGTTAATAACAACAACAACGATAATAATAATACTAACAATAATAACAACAACAACAGTAATAATAATAACAATAACAATAACAACAACAACAGTAATAATAATAACAATAACAAAAATTATGGTATTAATAGCATTAATAATAGTAATGGCAGCAGTAATAACAACAACAACATTAATAATTATAATAATAATAAAAGTTACTTAGAAATTTTGGAAAGGAATGGGTTGTCGTACCCAAAGCTGTTGAAATTGTCCGTCAATGAGCTAACCTCAGTCGTAACCATTCCACCACCATTATCACCAATACGTGACGACGTAGATGGTGATAGTAGTAGCGCTAGTTGTAGTAGTAGCGTTGTGAGCGATTTCAGACGCGGTGGTATCAATCGTAGCGACGTTGGCGCTTTAGCCGTCAAGTGTGGCGATGATGATGATGACGATGGCGATGGTGCGAATAGGAGGAAGAAGACTGTGGTGGAGGGATCGAATCTGAAGAAGTCGTCGTCGACGTCTTTATACTCGTTATCGTCGTCGTCATTATCGCCACTGATATTGCCTACGACATCGTCATCATCATCTCTTCCATCGTCATCATCATCATCTCTTCCATCGTCGTCGTCATCATCATCCTTGCCGTGTGTTGTTAATAAAAATCAACAACAACAACAACGAAGGAGACAACAACATCATGAACAACCTCAAAGCTTGCTGATGCGACAACTCAAACAACAACTTAAACGGCGAAATTTGTTGCTTTCAAGTGGCTCACAAAAACAGCAGCAACAGCAACGACATTCAAATGTTGCCCAGCATCGTAACCAATCAAACACCTCACAGCAACAACAACATCAGAAACAACAACAGCAAATAAATATTTCGCAACAACAACCACAAATTCTCTGCAAACCACAAGCTTCACCTCAACACTACAACCACCACCAA